TATAAAACAGTTTTTAATGATAAATTTTCCCTCTTTATTTTCCAACTTAAATTTGCTACCTAATATGCTGGCTTCCTTATTAAGTGCAGTTTCTAAATTTACAGGGACCTTTTTATAATATTTAGATACTTCCTTATATAACATACGATTATATTTGTCGGGTCTCATATAAAAAAAAAAATTAGATTTCTCCGCTTTAACGAATATTTTCTTACTATTCTTGATACTTTTGAGATATTTTTTAATTTATTGCTGCATAATATTATTAACATTTCTACATTTTATCAACTTAACAATTTCGAGTAAGTCGGATTTGAAAGTGCCTATTTCCTTAATATGAGTGTGGGGCGTTACTTTTAAAATCATAAGATTCAGTGTTATTCTCGGAACTACTCTGGTGGATATTTAGAAAAAAATGTGCCTTCCGTCTCATATTGGAGATGAAGGATTCAATCTTTTTTTTAAAATCGTCACACACACACACACACACACACACACGTCCTATACTGTGTATGAAGTCTATGTGTGTGTTTGTATGTATGTATGTGTATGAATATGTGTACATATGTGTATACTAATTCCTCATAATAAGACAGTATGTATGCATGGAGAGGGAATATACGTATGACAAAAACACAAAATTGGAAATCGATCTAAGAATATACAGTGGACATTAAAAGATAAGAATATGGATATCTTTCTCAACCTTTTCTCGGACCAATCTTAATTGTTTTGTTACCCTTCACGCAGAACTATTTCACTGCCAGTTCAAGGAAGATATTTGGGTCACTAACACACAAAAGAGAGAATGTCTAATATCGAGAATATCTAACATTGAAAAACATAAGAAAAATTAATTTATTTTTAATAAAATGTCGAAATATACACTCTTTGCCTGATGAAGGCCGCGGGACCGGAAACTCGTGTAGCAATATTATGGAAAATAAAACATAATATATTTATAAAACACAAAAAAAAAAATAAAAAAAAAACACACATATTACAACCAAAAACGTTTTCGGTTCTCTTTTTTTTTTAATATATATATATATATATATATATATATATATATATATATATATATATATATAATTGGACGGATATAAAAATTTATGAAAAAATAATTATTTAAAATTAGGATTATTATTTTTCTAGCCAAGGTACCGCCCTTCCTCGTAGTCGATTTGGGTCCTTTGTCCTTTTACCTTCAGCGTTTTATGCATGTAAAAGTTATCAGAATTTGGAAATAATAAAATCAGTTTATCTTTATTCTACAACTTAATTCGACATAATCTTTCAGCGCATGCGCAACCTATCTTCATAGATGTGTGTCTGGAAAGAAAACACAGATTTTTATTTTTAGTGGTTACCCACATTTGAATTGACGTGACGTTTATATTTAAACAGTATTTTATTTCGTCTACAGGCCAGTAGACGAAAAAAAAATACTGTTTAACCATAAACGTAGCGTCGACTCAAATATAGGTAATCACGAAAGGTAACGTTTCAAGTAATAAAGATATGTATCTGTATATCTATATATTACTTTGGATCTAATATAGATCGGAATGCGACAGAATGATAAGATAACGAAAAAATAATAAACTTTTATCAATCTAACATCTTTCACTTTTATTAAAGTTTCACCAGAAAAAGAGATGTAGAAAAAAAAGAAATACACCCTGCTATTTTTTATTTTTGCTTCTGAGTTGTTTAATTTTCAGTTTTCAGTTTTAATGTGAATTTGACTTATTAAATAAATATTGGTATATTCTATGGCATTCCTTATTCAAGTTGAATCCGTGCGAATACTAATTAACTAATGAAATACTAATTAACTAATGAAATACTAATAAAAATCAAATAACACGAAGATAAAAATATCAGAATTTCTTTATTCTATCTCCCCATATCTTATTCTCTGATGAAGCTTTAATAAAAGAGAACATTTTAGATTGATAAATGTTTACTCTTTGTTCTTTATCTTATCATGTCTATATCTAAATAATAATAATGTATATCTATAATACACGTATCCGTGTATATCTGTCTACGAAGGCGGCTAAAAAAATCCCTGTTGCAGAATCCTTCACAGTCACTTCTGCGTTAGTTCAACAGAGTCAGTGCCCACTTGTGGTTTATACTGCAACTATTCTGGAAGAGAGCGTATTATCTGGCGTGATGAAATGTCAGAACAAGGCCTGTACACTCAAACCCTCGGCCACGATGCTTTGTGACGACATTCGATCACAGCCATCGTCGTCTCACAATATACTTCCGTTTACCCAGTTTCACAATGGCTTGTACCGACTAGTGGCATGGTTTTCGGGCATTTTCCAAAGAAACGTCTTCCCGGGTTGATAACATCATGGAGTCACCATATGGCAAATCGATCATAGTGAGATTAATGGAGAGAGCGAGCAAAAGTTCTAACCACGTTAGCCGATGTATCTCTATAAACGAATTTGCGTGTTGATGCTTGCCTGCATATATGTTTGGGGGAATATTGTATAATTCGGCAGCAGTCTTCTTTTTGTTTTTATCTGTGTCATTAAATAGAAATAAGGCAAATATTTTTTGAAAAAGAAATATGTTGTATGTTTTTATTCAATTTTCTATTGTTCTTGCACTTTTTTCTTTTAAGAGGACAAAGAGTTTATACAAATTGTTCGGAGTGTTTATTGTCCCAATCGTTTTTGTCTAATACTTCATTCATTAATCGAAGGAGATTTTCATTGTTCGTATATATTGATTTTGTTTCCTATACTGTATTATTTGAGAGTAGGATTAATTCTGTTCATATAAGATTATTTTTTTCGTGTCCAAAACAGAGGGTTCCTAGGTAAGATGATAAACGACATCCGCGTCCTGAGTAAGGCGAAAAACTATGTCCAACAGCAAGGCCTCTGATAAGGAGGTTTTGAGGAAGGCTGTTAGGCTCCCCACTATGAGCAAATAGTTTACCCTCAAACTGGTGTCAAAACACTGTGAAAATATTAAAATAGGTTTTAATACCAGTATTGAATAGTTTAGGAAAAATTATTACCAGCAATACATTTTTGAAAGAACAAATATTACCAGTAATAAATTTAAAAAAATAATTATTACACGCAATACATTTTTGGAAAAAAAATATTACCAGCAATAAAAATTTTGTAGGCATTAAAAAACCCATTGAGGTTGATATGCCGCAAACCAAACCAAACCAAACCAAACCAAACCAAACCAAACTAAAACTACAGGCAAAACTCCCTGACTGTTTCTGAAGCAAGTAATATTAAGTTTAGTTTACCTGATTTCTTAATGTCCCGGTTTTATTACCAGCAATTTTTCTTACGTTTGCATGTTGGAGGGCGTGAGCTTTTCTATATTTTCTTATCGAACTAAGATCAATCACGTGGTTGATTAGAGACCTGTTTAAAGAGTTTGTATTCGTTTTTAGCTTGACTTTTATGCTTAGTTAAACTGACTTACAAAGAACAATAGAACTTATAAATAACGGTAGCAGTATGGAGTCTAGATTTCATAGTTGTGTTGTTAGATTTAATGAAGTTGGAAGTAGAATATGATTTGTATTACGAGTTTAGTAAGATTCAGTTAATCATTCTTTTTGCAACATTCATACTATTCGTACCAAATTCTATAATTTGGAATCGTCCCTCTTCGAAAAGTTTCCAAATATCCTAGCTCTCTGTGAAAATAATTTTAATTCTTCTATTCCTTCCTCTGATTTCTCGATTCCTGGCTACATTCCTCTCCTCAGAAAAGACTCTAAACACCACATGCATGGACCGGGAAGTTATGTAAGCAAAAATTGAGTCAATTGATTCGTCCACCGCAAGGAAAGTTGATACCCTGTGCTGCACCAGGAAATTTTTCTCCCCGGAATCGATCCTCCAGATCTACAAATCAACACTTCGCCCTTGCATGGAGTATTGTTGCCATATATGGTCTGGAGCCCCTTCTGTTTTCCTCGGGGTTCTTGATAGGCTCCAGAGGCGGATATGGAATATAATTGACCCTGTTATGACGTCTCGTCTACAGTCACTCTCTCACAGACACACCGTCACCTCTCTCTGTCTGTTTTACAAATACTTCCATGGGATTGCTCCGAGGAGCTGCATTCGCTGGTCCCTAGACTTCATGAGTTCAAGCGCCCTACGAAGCTGGCATCTCGCTCTCACCCTTTCACTGTCGAAACTCCTAAATGAAGCCGTCTCTTCTACTCCAAGAGCTTCATGTCTCGCACCTCTCGCCTGTGGAACACCCTTCCTTATTCCAGTTTCCCTGAGAGCTATAATCTCCAAATACTCAAATGTGATGTCAATCGACATCTCCAGTTACCTTGATCTATCCACTATCCTTCTCCTCACCCTCCCTCTGTCGCTTATATCTGATTTTGCTCCAGGCCTTGCTTGGTGTGAAACGCTTAAAAAAAAAAATCTCCTGCTGGTTAGGGAACTCTCTCTTGAATCTCCAGACCATTCGTACGTGACACTTTGTCTCTCTCTACTTAACTCAGTCAGCTATCTCTTCTTTCTCTACCGTTCCTCTTCTTCTCAAAACCGTTGATGCACCAACTACATGAATTTAACGGTTACTAGTAGACTGCTAACTCGCCCCACAACTTTTACTGCTGAAATAATTAAATATAACGGCCACTTTTACTCCAAACGTTTATTTTTCTCGCACTTCAGGACAGTGGAAATCTCTTCCGTTTATTTGTTTCCTTGCAAAGTACAATCTTCCAAAAATATAAATGCAACATCAATCGGTATCTTCAGTTATCTTGAACCTCGTTCATCTTTTATCCTTTTCTTTGTCGCCTCTATAACCAGTTTTTTCTCTCACTTTTGCTCTGTAACCCCTGCGTACTAGTGGTAATACCGCTTTGCTTGGGGTGAAATGATTAAAAAAAGAAACTACATGTGAAATTCATTATTTTATGATATATATATATATATATATATATATATATATATATATATATAAAAAAAACAATGAATCTCACACACATATCTATCTATCTATCTATCTATCTATCTATCTATCTATCTATCTATCTATCTATCTCTCTCTCTCTCTATATATATATATATATATATATACACCCAAGTATAGGATTGGTGTATACGGAATAGATTCCGATAACCAATAAATACTATTCTTAAAAGAGTTCTATATTCTACACCATCACTTGATAAGACACCAGAAGTGTTTAAAACAAATGGCTATTTTTGTAGTGATTTTATAACATATTTAGGCTATAATTTTCTGATAAATAATTATATATATATATATATAAATTACAGTGTATGTGTGTTTGTGCGTGTGTGTGTGTGTCGAAGCAACTCCTCCGCTGCTACAGGTCTGATTTTTATGATTCATAGCTCATTAAAAACACCTAGAATAGGTAGGTGTAGGGGACTATTTTCGTAGAGTTCAGATTCTGGGTTGACAGATTATGCAAGGTTAAAAATATATATATTAATATATTATACTAGCCTTTATTATTGCTTTCTTGGTTCAAGGAATGTAACTCATATTTTCCTTTTGTATCCAAAATTGCAGTCCAGGTTTTATTATAAACTAGCGTAAAAACCGCCTTATCGGGCGGCATTTAATCTAGCTCTTTTTGGTTTAGCCATCATGACAATAGCTACTTAGGAGTAGATGCGATCGGCATCAATAAACTTATGAATAACTCAAAACTGACCGCTGCATTTAAGTATTGAATTAATGTTTAAGCTTACTTTTTAAAAGTTCAATAATAATTATTCTGCTGCCACTTGATTTAAAGATGATTTTTTGTACGTAGATACTTATTTTCCGTACAAACAATTATTTTTATTTCATGGGTGACAGAACAGGGCGAAATTTATAAGATATAATTAATGTAGTATAAAGATGAGAAAATAGAAATTAGTTGTACATTTAACATTTGAAGAGATAGAGAAACGTCATAGCTAATATAGTAAAACCTATATTAGCGAATCTATGTGAATAAATGTGAAATTGGAACACAATTATCCTACGAATTATTGGGTTAAAAAGCATCAAATCTATAGTAATTTATATGGGGTATTTTCACTCCCCACTCACTAGGATGTGATGTAACACAAGGTCTATTTTTAGGTGGAGACCCGAGCGCGTACACCCGGGACAGGAACAAAAATTCCTCTCAGCCCAAGCAACCGTCGGTCGCGCTGGCCTCTGTGCGAGCACCGATCCCTTCCTCTGGTGCAATGGAAGGGCGCGTCTTCGGTCAGCTTTTCCCCAGGGCTGGGCACCTCTCAGTATTATTTTCCTCAGTTGCCCCTCTGTCTTTGATAGAGAAGCCACTGAGCGCACGCTGCCCAAAGACAGATACGCAACTGAGAGATGAGTTAATAAGAGTAATTTATACGCGGTATTTACTACTTCCCCGCACTAGGACGAGATGTGACACACGGTCTTCCTTAAAGTGGGGTCCAGAGCCCGTACACAGGGGAAAGGAACAAAATTTGCCCACAGCGCCCGTAACTGTCGGTTGCGCTGGCCTCGGTGCGAGCACCGATCCATCCCTCTGGTGCAATGGGAGGGCGCAGCCTCGGGCTGCTGTTCTCCAGGGCTGGGCACCTCTCGTTATGATTTTCTCAGTTGCCCCTCTGTCCTTTGACAGAGAAGCGCCTGAGCGCACTCTACCCAAAGACAAAGACTCAAAAAGAGAGATTTGTATTTTCTCAAATCATCACGTGGTCAAGTTGTGACACAAGGTCGGTTTAATGTGGGGAGCCCGAGCGCATGAAACGGGGCAAGGAACAAAATTTCCCGAGCCCCCGCAACCGTACACTGGCCACGGTGGGTGCACCGATCCTTCTCTCTAGTGCAATGAGAAGGCGTGGCCCCGGGCAGCTGTTCCCCAAGGTCGGCACCTCTCAGTATAATTTTCCTCAGTTCCGAATCTATCCTTTGACGGAATCGCAGCTGAGTGCACTCTGCTGAAAGACAGACGCAACTGAGATATGACAAATAGACCTGAAATCACTATAACTCGGTATTTAATTTGTCTCCACCACTTGCACGAGATGTTACATACAGTCTATTTTTATGTGGGGACCCAAGCGCGTACGCCCGGGACAGGAACAAACATTTCCCTCAGCTCTCGCAACCGTCGGTTGCGCTGGCCTCGGCGCGAGTACCGATCCCTCTCTCTGGTGCAATGAGAAGGCGCGGCCTCGGGCAGTTGTTCCCCAGGGCTGGGTACCTCTTCAGTATAATTTTGCTCAGTTGCGACTATGACGGAGTCGCCCCTGAGCGCACGCTTCCCAAAAACAGAGACGCAACTGAGAGATGATAATTAGATGTTCAGTTTCAGAAAGTTCAATTTTTACATATTCTATACTTCTAGGTGATATCACTCTTCAGATTCAACTAATTTGCATAGTAATTTAAAAAAAAAAAGTATATTTTATTGATTAAATGTCCTTCATTAGTTTTCTCTTCAAGTATTGTTTTGATTTTCATATCATAAATAGTTCTGTTTAGGAATATTGTCATATATAGTGCAGAATGTTTTTTGAAATTTGCATTTTACTTGGTCTTCAAGACGTTGGCATCTATTTGTAAAACTTTCCTTAACTATAACAAGACAATTTATGAATGAAATGTGCATTTAGAAATTTTCTTTCAAATATTTCAAGTACTGAATGTATCTTCCTTTGCGAAGCGAGAGCGAGCGGTTGAAACCTGCTAATATATATATATATATATATATATATATATATATATATATATATATATAAGTTCGCAAGTATGCAGAAAATAGAAAAGAACACGTTGGGTGCATAATCCGGAGTTCCTTAGTATTTTTGTTTTTATTTTTAAGAAGGACAGTGCTCCATACAGAAGTAGAGCTTTAATAAAATAATATTTTTTAATAATTATTTGGATGATTTCGGCTCTCGTTTTTTGAAACATGAGAACTCTTATGTAGCGAAGGAATCATATTTTTAAACAAAAAAATATTATTATATATATATATATATATATATATATATATATATATATATATATATATAAAAAGAGAGAGAGAGAGAGTATTATTGAACACGTACTAAACCAAAGAGTGACTTAAGATAGAGCGTTACAGAATAAGAAGTAAAGGGTCAAGGTTTATGAGGATATGCGTGGAATATAAACTTTGACCCTAGACTTGAACTGGTTAACATTGTAGTGATCTGGGAAGCATCAGCTTGTGACATGGTTCTACAAAGCAATAATTCCTAATTATGGTGGTTTGCTAGAATATTGTTTATTTTCCTACCAGTTCAAGAAGAATTTGGATTACTACCACGAACAAAACACAATGGTTAAAGATGCGAAAACATAAGGGAAAAAAATAATTCCTTTATATAATATGTGGAGGTAACTCTTCTTCGCCTGATGAAGATCACAGGACGCGGAACACGTGTAACAAAAATATGGAGTATAATTATAATATATATTAAAAATCTACATGATGACCAAAAGCGTTTGTGTGGTTTTTCTTTTCTTTTTTATATATAACACAATAGGAATTAAGATTACATTAGGTAATGATCATTATCACGTTGTAAATTGAAATAATGATACCCATTTTCAATTTAATAATTCATCATCCATTGACTGGTTTGAAAAAAACTTACAAGGTGAAAATGATCATTAACCTAATGTAATCTTAATTCATATTGTATGAGATATCTTGCTCTGTTTAAATAAAATATTGAGCTCTATGTGTGAACCAGATTTAATATTTAATACGTTATATTGTATTAATAGGATTCACTTAGATTATGTACCAACGGATTATTACACGTACCCCATATAAATATATATATATATGAGGTGTGAAAATTAATGGCAGCTATTTATTAACGTATTACACCAGTATTTGCATGAATAATAGATGTTCAAAGTGTTTCACTTTTTGATTGAGCATATTTATACTGTCACATCAATAATAGTGACATATAGTTTGCGCTTGTTAGCGATGAATTAGCAAGTTTTAAAACATGCCATTCTATCTACCTGCATAATACTAAAAGTGTAATTGCTTACGTTCTTCTGTGGTGCGTCCGTCCGGCTCATAATGATTTAAATCAATGGCATTTAAGTGATTAAAATACGAGTTGTTCATACATAACTACTTTTAACTTTCTTTAAACCATACTATTTTATTTATTAAAATATTTTAAAGTTAAAGACAAACACAAAGAGATTCAACATTGCTGTTTCGTTCGTTCTGTTGTTTGTAGAGTAATTATTTATATTTCAACTTTCTTTACACAAATAATATTTTAAATATTTCAAAAATATTTTTTACATATTAAAAAATTATTTTCAAGCGAATATGATTTAAAATATTTAATGGTATATTAAAATAATATTTAATCTGTTTAAAAATAAATATATTTTACGTGAATAAATTTTAAATATATGAGGTGTTTATACAGTTATATATATACTAGCAGCATGGTCCGGCGTTGCCCGTGCTTGATTCAAAAATCGTACGACTCATACAGCAATCGCTATCACTTGACTTAAAATATTTTTACCCTTCCTTTCCTTTAAAGGAGTATCCTTTGCCGTGCTGATGTTGCTACATGCCTTACTAGATTTTTTCTAAGCTCTATACTAAACATTAAATCTGTTACGAAAAAGAACAAAACAAAATGAACACAAAACGATCAGCTTTAAAAAAGGACTTGTAACTGGAAAAACCGAATGAAAAAAGAAAATTAAAAACAAATACTTTTTCACACCCACTTGTGACGAATGCAGCTATCGATTATTTTGCATGCTAGCATGCTAGTTAACATTCGTGTCAGTCATCTGTTGGCTCTCACGCTGGCCAATAGAATGTTCCTGCCTATTCGTGGCAGCCAGCTATAGGCTCTCACTCTGGCCAGTAGAAAATGGCCGCAAACTACATGAAAACGGCCGTAGAAGCATGAAAAAATCGATTATTCCCACTATCGATGGGAGTTGGGAAATGCAACGTCGGTCTTGGCCTTTTCGCTAACTTGGAGCATGTGCATGTAAATGTTGGTGCAAATCCGTCGAAAATTGCGACCGTGCATTCGTCACACACACACACACACACACACA